ACAGATTCAGTAATTTTTTACACTTGCAGCTTTGTGGTAATCCTTTAAGATTTTTCACTTTGATTCCAATTTCAGATAGTTATTAAAATATTAATGTCTCCTCTTTCTTTAATGGAAAGCATATTAAGAACAATGCAAAGAGTTTAGAAAACAATGCAATTGAAATGTTTTAATTATGGAGGCTCACTCATTTGTCAATGCTACTGTATCAAATTTCTGTACATATTCCATGATATTTTTCAATCATATTGCTGCAACTTATACTAGGACAGAAGAAATGAAACATTCCAGTAGATGAAACACCAAATTTTATTATTTTTCCCCTTCAGCCTAATTTTTCATTAAAAGTTGCAGTCTTGATTAAAAACTCTCCTCATATCTGCATTTTTACTTTTATTTTCAATGTCTTTTCAATTTTTAATTTCTGGATTAAATTTTCTTGAACAATCAGTATTTTTTTTTTTTTTTTTTTCCCAAAGCATCCAAATTTTTTTTTGTCTTGTTTCAACACCAAAATTTTTTAAATAAAAATTAGTGATAAAATCTCTTCCTTTTTCATTTTACATATGTGAAAGAAACAACCACTTATTTCTTACACATGATGATCCCATCTGTAAATACTTCAAACTATACTTTAATTTCATAACATGTGATGTTTATTAAGATCCTATTTCTGATGCTAGTTGTATTTTCATAGATTTTCAGCTACAGCTCTTGAATTAATACCTCAGGGTCATGAAAAACTTGACTTTTAATGATACTTGCTACTATAATTAGATGAAAAGAAAATAACTTCAGTTTTTCAAAAGGTATCACCTGAAATTATTCATTAAAAGCAGGCAAAAAGGCAGTAATTGTTCCAAAATACAGACTGCACACTAAAAGCATTCTATCATAAAAGATGAAAATAGTCAATATTGGAAAATAAAAACTGCCTTGAATCACAAAGTAAAGATGCTAACCCTTTCAATGAAGTAAAAATTAATCTTAATCCAAATGCACAGTGAACTTTCTTATAAGCAGATGAGTTAATTTTAAAGCATTTCTCAATTTCAGTTAGATATAAGATACATTTGTAAAATTAAAAAAACTTGGAAAAATCATTAAATATGGCAATATTTCAAAACACATTTTCAAATTCAATAAACCTTATATCATATACTTAATAGATGAACTGAAGTATCACCTTTATAATGGTCTGAAACTGAAGTTCAGATATCTGAATTTTGGATACTTTTAATTATCTGCACACCTGCCGAAAAGTTGCAAAAAAATAAGAGCATTATGTCACCAAAATAGTTATGTGGCAACCCACAATGTTGACAAAATGTATTTACATGATAACGCAGGGACAGGTGCAGCACACGTCTGTTTTTATCAGTGTGTAATGCATTGGCAACATCGAGATATATGGCTCCAGATAATGCAGTTATTTTAGTGTTTATAATAAATACTCAATAAGCTATAAATTCTGTTGAAAGCAGGATTATACTTCTTTACATCAACTTCAAAACTATTTTCAATGTGATTCAAATGGATTTATAACAAACATGTGTCCATTTATTTTTTAAGTTAAATAGTGAATTTTGTTTAATATTATGTACACTTTTGCATGATTACAATATGTACCTGAGTTAAAGGTTTGGTTCTTGTTGGTTATTCACAAGTGGGAGCTACGGTAAGCACTGAAAACGACAACTTGCCAACAAATATCTGCATCCCAATTTTTTCGCTACAATCATATCCATAATCTATGATGCATAACATAGTAACAAATCATTTCTTTCTATATGTCAACAAAGCAGTGGTTAAGGTACAAAACTAGTCTTATAGATGATGAATTCCAGATCCAATTACAGCAAATAAATATTAATTAATGAATTATTTTTTTCCTGCTCTGAAGTTATACTGCATGTGACAGTTTGTAAGCATACCTACTAAAAGTAAAAATGATCTTAAAAAATACAGTCAGACTGCTACCAGAGTTACTAAGTAGCAGTCGCAAAACAGCTATTAAGATTGTCAATCAAGCTTGACACATAACAAAGATAACAAAGTTACTGGTTTCAAAAATCTCATAAATAGCAAAACCTCTACTGCCACTAACCACTTATATTAAATAATTATATAAAAGTTATAATAAAAACCTCATAATGATTTTGATTAATACAGCTAATGTAATTTCACACTAGAAATTAATAATAACTGAAATAAGTCCGCATTTATTGCTTTTAAGTTAGCTTAGTTTGTTAATTAATAACAATAAATTTGAAAGCAAAATTAATTATTATCTTAAACTTTATCGATTAGTTCCTGACTGGAAAATAAAAAATATTTTAATTCATGCAGTGACAACACATTTCTTTTAGATGACCAAATTTGTTGCCTAAATTCAAAAGACAAATATATTTATTTAATTTTGCTGAGTGGTAACATACATCTATATCACAGTTTTCCAATTTAATTTGTAACACAGGTGTCTTACATTTTGCCAAATGGCTACACAAAGCTTTTAGACTGCTAAGTTTTTAAACAAAAGTTTCTTAAATTTGCTTAAATTATTAAACTGATAAAAAATTCAAGCTTCAAGGAGCACATGTTCAGGTGAAAGATTACATGTGTTTATAATTTGAAGGGTCCTAGGTCTTGCTGTTTTTTCACAATCAATTAAATTCAAGAGACAAATATATCGCATTTTGCCAAGTGACAACATGCTTCTTATATATAGCTAAATGACAGGACATAGAGACAAATTTCCCAATAATAAATGAATATTTTACTTCCATTTAAAATATCGACAATTTAAAACATCTTACTCGATTTGATCAAAACACCACAGCCATCAGTTACATACAGACAAATATGAGCACGGTAAAGCTTTCATACTGAGTTTTGAATCAAATGTTCATTAAATTCACACAAAATGCAAAATAAATAAAAAATTCAAAATTCAGGCTTTGAGGTGCATATGATCTGGAGAAGGCCTGCGTGTTAAAAATTTGGTGGCTATATGTGCTGTTGCTTTTCCATAATGTGAGGAACATGCATAAATATATATTCTTTATTATTTAATAATAGTTATAAAAAATTTAATAAAAACAGATGAATCTCTGAAAACTGTTAAAAAAAAGTTCATCTTTTCTACAAAAAGTATATTTATAACAGAACGGATGACCTAGATTCTATAGGTAATTAGATAAGGTTACTATTTTTTAAACTAAATTTTTAGATTTAAATATATTACTTTTTCCCTTTGAACACATACACTTAAAAAGAGAAAACAACTGCCTAGAACACAGTTTTTATGACATGTGATATATATCTACATTTTGACAAGCATTTCATAAGAGGTGCCGAAACATGGTAGAGACTAAAATTTAATCTTAAATTAAATTTAAAAAAATTAAATGCAAATAAATTTTTCAAAGCTATTTTCATAAAAATGAGATCAAATTTTTAATGGTCCCTCAAAACTGCTCTTTTTTAAATTTAACGTGGTTGATCAATAGAGATTATCAATAGATATGGCTCAGATGAAACAGCACAACATTTTACAGGATACTAGATAACTGTACGGTTAGACTAACAAAGGTACATTATATATTTTCTGCACATTTAAAAGGTGAAAATTATATAACATAATCCTATAAAAATATCTAATGTTTTTACTTAAACACATAATGAATTAAATAATTTTTAATTAAATCGGATTGAATATTTAAAAATAATATTCTTAAGAACTGCATCTATTACTTTTAAATAGCTTTGTTAGATAGATTAAATTTAAATATAAATTAATCTATTTATTATTGATTAACAAAAATCAAGAATAGATAAATTTTATAAATATCTTGCACTTTGCTGATATATAAATAAAATAACATATATAATAAATATTAAATAAAAATAAATATCTTGCATTTTGCTAAATGGCAACAGACTTTAACAAAAAGTGAAGCGACACATATGCAGTGGATGACATATTTAATGTGAATCAATGCAAAATCACGCTTTAAGACTAATACAGTCAAAAGTCGTTAATCCGGACTCGTCGGGACTTCGGCGATTCCGGATTATCGATTTTTCCGGATTATAGATCATCAGTTTTTTTAAATCGCGTAAGATGGCATGCAGAAAATTCTAAAATTAAAAATATGAAACGTAATTTATGAAATAAAGAACAATTATGATCTAAAGGGTATCAAAATTTACAAAAAAAAAAAAAGCTTAATATTTATTTGTTTACTTTATTAAACATTTCTTTCAATGTAAGTTGTTTAAGTTGCGTTGCTTCGTTTTATGTGATAATACTTTCTCTATAATTCTATAAACAGATATAATTTTTTGTTCACTTACAAAAATCCGCTGTTCAAGTCCCGTTAATTGCTGTGGCCGAGAATACCGACTAACTTGTCAATCGAAATTTTTTCGTTTTCACTAACCTCTCTGTCACATTCTTCATGTCTTTATCCATTTTTTGCAGCAATTCCACATTTTGTTTGATGGACATCGAAACATACTTTCGTTTTGTACGATCTTTTGGGAGCTCCAGAATCCAAAATTCTATTTGACATAATCGAAAGTTCAAGTTTACTTTTATAGTATTGCTCTTACAGTCTGCAAAAAATAATAAGCCGGATCCAATTCGAAAATTAAGGAACAACACAATCATCAACATTAACTGAAATAGATAATTAGATAATTTTAGCTTACACCGTCCATTATACATAAAACGCGCACGCGAAAACGTATTCTGCGCTTGCGCACACGCAAACGCGCAGTCGTAAGAGGTCTTATGCGCACGCGTAAACGCCTGTGCGCATGTGTCAACGCGGCGCATGCACAGAAAGTTTTTAGCTTTGAGGTCCGGATAATAGATCATTCTGAATTATGGGTGTCCGAATTAACGACTTTTGACTGTAGTCCTTTTAGGGTAATAAGTAATGTCCAATGAAAATTCAAATTTCAATATTTGAGAATAATAATAAAAAAAAAGAGACCTGAATCTAAGCCAAGGGCAACTTTGTTTTCATTAAAATGGACAAGATCGCAAATGCCTGAAGCTACTTCAATACCAGTTAAACACTTTTCTACATCGGGAGCATCGTGAACATTTGGAAAACACCACAGAGAGCCATTCCAGTAGCGACCAGTAAGATTAGATGACGCTATTATAATTCTGCCATCTGCAAGGAAAAAATAATGAAATTAAGACTAAAATACAGTTATGATTAATTATAACAATAGTCTGAAAGTTTGCAGAACTAAAAATAATAAATATTGCTAAAAAATATAAAAACAGGTTATAACAGGCTATAACTTCAGACACATGCCTTCATGGTGTGCATTCGGTGTGAATACACTCGGTGTGTATTCGAGAGGCCCGTGTTCGAATCCTGGTGAGGGATTGCTCATTTTTTTACATCTCCTTCAAAAAAGAAACCTAATGACTCTACAGTGTCACCTGAACTAAAAGGTGGTGGAAAACAATTAGTCACCACCAGGATTTGGCGACTGGGTCCCCTAATCCACAATCATCCTTTAAAAGGGGAAGTATATAAGGTAGTTTCTCCCTCTTTAAAGCTTGCCTTTGGGGTGTTACAGTAACACACTCGGTACGTATTCGAGAGGTCCAGGTTCAAGTTCCAGTGAGGGTAGTGCTCATTTTTAATGTCTTCCACATAAAAAAAAAAAAAAAAAAAAAAAAAAAAAAACATAATGACTATAAAGTTAAAATTTATTTCAAGATCTTTCTTATATTAATAAAAATATTTCTTAATGTGATGCATTTATACACTGGTTATCATAAATTAAGGAAAAATCACAAAAATAGCGATAACTCCCTCAAAAATAAGCCAAACCGTGTAAAATTTGAATATGTTGCCAAATAAGAGTAGCTGAGTAAAACTCCAATATGCAAATTAGTGGCACTGCACTCTGAATACGTCATCTGCGAGGAGTATAAAAGTCCATGTTTGAGAGCAAGCCCACATATTTCACTGTGATAGTGACATCAGAAATCTGAGATAGCCAATTCGTAACAATGATCTCCAGGCATCATTTGCCTGCAGAACTACGATAGAAAGCCATTGGGAGACTAGAGGCAGGACAAAGTCAAACAGAAGTGGCTAAATGCGAGTCCTTCTGTGGTTTACAGACTTTGGAGGCAATTTCAAATCACAGATTCGGCACCTAGGAGGTTCAGCCAAGGACGGCCAACTGCTACGACAAGCGCTGATGACAGATATTTGACATTATGTGCACACAGGAATAGAACCGCTACTGCGACTCTTCTTATATCATCCCTTGCTGCACCCACCGGAAGGTTGGTGTCAATGTCAACTGTTTGTAGAAGGCTTCACAAAGGTGGTCTGTATGCGAGGCGAACAACCATTTGCGTGCTGCTCAAGTCACACCACAGGAGGGACCATTTACAGTGGGCACGACAACATGTCCACTGGATGCCTGAGCAATGGAGTGCGGTTCTCTTTACAGATGAGTCCAGGTTTAGTCTAGAATGCGATAGTAGGCATTATTTGATATGGAGAGAACTTGGAACCCGTTATCATCTGTCAAACATCCGTGAAAGAGATGCAGATGGAAGAGGCAGTGTCTGTGTTTGGGGTGGCATTTCTTTGGGTGGACACACAGACCTACATATTTTTCCAAGGGGAACCGTGAATGCTCATGCTTATAGAGATGACATCCTTGATGCTTATGTACGCCCATATTCCGGGGAAATAGGTGATGCTTTCCTGTTACAGGACGACAATGCAAGACTACACAGGGCTCGCATCGTTTATAATTATCTTTAACAGGAAACAATTATGTGCATGGAGTGGCCAGCTCGATCCTCAGACTTGAATCCTATCGAGCATGTTTGGGATGCTTTAGGGAGACGTCTAGCTGCTGTCAATCCGCCTTCTTAGATCCTTGCAGCGCTTGCAACTGCTTCGCAAGAGCAATGGCTCTTGCTTCCTATGGAACTGATCAACCGCATAATTGAAAGCATCACATATCACTGAATGTTCTGTATTGCTTCTAGAGGCTATTATATTCCATACTGAAGGTACTTTTACTATAACAAACCGACATCTTCGATTTGTTCATTTTGTACATGTGCTAATTTCTATACTACCATAAATGTCTTGTAATTTCTTTTTATGTTATTTGATACCTTACTATGTGTTGTATATTGTGGGTAAGTTTCATAAAATTCTACACGTAACTTTTTCAGTAATCGTGATTTTTCCTTAATTTATGATAACCAGTGTAGTTATGCAAATAGAAATTTTTATCATTCAGTAAAAAATATGCTGTCAATAGTAGCACATAATTATTTCTCCCATCTTCATTAATGATCAATTTTTAGCAAGATAAGTATTAAAAAAAAAATTGAAAGTTTCAGATTTAAATTACGTCCAAAGGGGCGTTTTTTTTAACATTTTGTATGTTACCTTTCTTTATTAAATATCATGTTCCTCGCACTTAAACCATAAGATCCAGTGCAACAGCAATATCGCAAAATAGTTTTAAAACGAGCATATCTTTTAGAATTTCCGATACAGAGACTCACGCGCTGGAGATAAAAATGTTTTTTGCACAACGTTGCCATTGCTCGCTTTGAAAATCCTTGAGTTTGTTAATCAAAAAATTCGTCAAAGTTTTAAAAATAGGAAATCGATCATAAAACAAATTTCAAATTTGGTCTTCCACATGCTCATATTCGTTGGAGGATTACGTTATTCAAAATTCGATGACTCTATGTACCGTTGTTTTTGACAATGTGCGAGAAATATACATACATTTATGCAGATTTTTCATTATTTAATTTCTTCAAATATAATGCAGGACTCTAACATTTGGTAGCAACAGTTTGAAAAGTGAACCAGACATTTATAGTGAACCAACACAAAATCGCAAACCAAAAACAATAGTCCTTCAGGGACAAAGCCCCTTTGTACTAAAAATTATTTTGTTACCAAGATTAAAAGAACTGTTTTCTTGCAATGGTAATATTTTAAATGTTTAGAATTTAATCCTGTTCTATAAATCTGCTCAAGTATAATAATAAAAATCTGAGATTTACTGAAAGGGGAGTATCTTTATTTTTTCTCCCAAGAACTAGCATTTTGTTACAGCAAACATGGCTGGATTTCTGCCAAAAGACACATGGGTATTTTTTGATGCTGCAAAAAAGTAAATGGGCAAAAAGAGTATGGAAGAAAATGATATCACATAAAAGCATTTATGTGCCACCTCAGTTGTGCACATAACACATCTGTTCTGGCCAGTGTGCAAAAATGTTTCTTGCTTTCCTAATTTGATTGATTGATTTCTCTCATATTCACCAGGCAGCAGAATTTAGAACCCATAGGAACAGATCAGATGGCAAAATGCCCAGTCCTGGTTATAATTAGCGGGGAATACTATAAAAGTAAAGAAACATATATTTAGTATATATTTTAAGGTACCCCTTGCATTATTGGCAAGTTGTTGTTCCATTTATGGTAACCTGAGTAGTTGAATGCTATCGAAACCTGTTATGACATGATTGGTAGTAATCTGTGATTGCAATGATTTTTGATTGATGGGAAAATATTTGTAAAGGCTTTTATATGTGTTTGTTGCTGGTTAAGAAGTACATTGCTTATTTTGTGCTTTACACTGTAAAATGCCTGCTGGTGTTATTGATTGACCTGAAGTTTCTGTACACTTTGGAATGATTGAAAAAAAAAAAAAACATCGATTGACTGGTGTGTAAATGAAGATTTAAATGGCTTCGTTCACCTCTCATTAAATTACACAGCAAGATTTAAGGATTTGGAAATCAGAGCACATATCAACACTATGGAAGGTATGCGGGGTGTAATTAAAAGGGATTTTTGAAAAAACTGCTATCGACAATCCACAGAATATTTTTCATTTTTACTTTTGTGAATTTTTGTGGCAACGGAAGTATAGATATTCTAGTTTAGATAATTTTAAATAGTTTTTGGATGCTGTTAAGGAATTCTGTGTGGCACCAGCAAAAAGAAGTAGAAATGAAATGATGATTGATATTTACTGTTGCACGTGGTTGCGGCTGTTGGCAATAACAACTATGTGTATTGGATTGGCAGTGCTTTTAGGATGAATTCATACATGCCATAAGAGCCATTTTTGATAACAAAAACATTAATCACATCACATATTAATACTTAATTGCTACGTCATAGACAATCACGTTGAGAAAACGAGCGCCAACCGCACGACCGACGAGACGTGACTGTGTGTCGCCGAAATCACCTTCGGTTACAGTTAGTGATAACGGCGCGTGGTTGGCGAGTACAACACATGTTTACAGAGTCGCCACATTTAGTTTTTCTATGTGTAGATTCGATAACACATACAGTAGAGTCCCGCAAACTTGACTCCCGATATCTTGACATTCCGTATCACTCGACAACTTTTTAAAGACTATTATTTATGCATATGTCTTTCCTGTTTTGTTCAAAGATTTTAGTGTTCCTTTTCTGTAATTTTTGCCATTTTCGCATTGTGCCATTAATTTTTGGAATTGCCTAACAAATTTCAAGATATGTTGCAATACAATACAAAGTCCGTAATCCGGACTCGTCGGAACTTCGGCGATTCTGGATTAGGGTTTTTTCCGGATTATAGATCATCAACTTAAATCTCATAAGATGGCCTGTAAAATTATACAATCAAAATGAAGGCCATATTTATGAAATAAAGAGCAATTATGATCTAAAATACAAATTAACAAACAAAAAAAAAAAAAAAAAGTAATATTTATTTGCTTACTTTATTAAACATTTCTTTCAAGGAATGGCGCACGATCGGAGCACGCATGGGTAAACACTTTACTGGCTTTACACGCATACGTAGCGGACGCGCATGCTTAAGTTTGTGGCTTTGAGGTCCGGATTATAGGTCATTCCGGATAATGGACGTCCGGATTACGGACTTTGTACTGTACTTAGCAATGCTGTTTGCTTCTTTCGAGGATATGAGGAAGTCAGGCAATGGCTGGTCGCAGGTTCACTTTCCTTTCTATTGTTGCAAAATGTTAGAAGACTTGTCTGAAGTTTTATGACTGCATTTTATTGCAAACTTAACTCACACCAGTTGATTGCGGGCATCATTCCTCAGTTCACATCCAGGCATATTTTTGGGAACTTTTGATATTCTGTAAAATGAAAATGTTGTTCGAAAAGAAAACAAAGTAACGTGATAATGGAAATGAAACTAAATGCCTTAAAGAGGCTGGACAAATGAAAAAGTGCAAACAAAATTACCATGGATTTAGGTGCTGGACAGATTAGTTTGACAGGGTGGAAAAAGGAAAAGGTCCAAAATTGAGTCTTGGTGTGTGAAAAGAGCATGCACAGATAATTTAAAGGAAAGAAAAATGTATGAAAGTTGGTGAATATGAAAAAATGTGTGAGGCATTTTATTTGTTGTTCAGGCAGAAAAGGGAATAGGGAACCCAATTCAGGATCAATTTTACAACAGAAAGGTCCTAAAATTTTATGAACTTCAAGAAGAAGAGCCTGGATTTTTTTGCTAGTGCTGGCTAGCTTAACAGATGGAAAAAGCATTATGTCATCAGGCAGTTAAACTTTTGCGGGGAAAACCTACTAACTTGGAAAATGCGGCAATATTCAAGGATAATTTCCACAAATTAACTGAAGAGGAGGGTTTATTTGGAGTTCAAATTTATATAATTGTGAAAAGACTGGTTTGAATTTTTGAATGCTATCTTCGAAAACGCTGGCATCCAGGGAAGAAAAATCGGCACCTGGCTACAAAAGAAGCAAGGAGAGAGCCACAATCTTGGCATGCAGCAATACAACAGGCAGCCATAAGCTCAAAGAGCTTATAGGCAAATCCCAGGTATTTAAAAAATTTAAAAAGTACACTAATGAGACCAAAACCAACTATGAACTTCTAGTTTGGTATTGGAGTCAGTCAAACGCATGAATGAAGCAATATTTAATTATTGGTTTCATGAGCAGTTTGTTACATTGGAGGAAAAATTTTTAAAATAAAAAAATCTACTAAGGAAGGCAATTCTCATTCTAGAAAATGCCTCATCCTATCCTGATGCAGAACAGATGCATGTATGAGACGATATAAGAGCCATGTTTCTCCCTCCTAACGTAACTTCAGTGTGTCAGTCGATGGACCAGGACGTTTTGGAGGCAATGAAGAAAAAATATTGATGTGAACATCTTCCATCTCTTGCCCAAGCAGTAGAGAAAGGGTGTGGACTTCAGAAAATTCCAGGCTGCATAGAAGTTAGCAATGGTGATGTTGAAGAATGGATGGGACAAGATGAAAATTGTGAAATTTTAGAACATACAGAAATAGTTGACAATGTGGATAAAAATGACAAAGAATCAGAAAACAATGAGATTGAAGACAGCAGAAAAGCTAAAATGATGACCCATAGTGAAGGACACAAATTTCTAGATTAATTTACAGTTAAATATAAAGAGTCCTGCAAAACCCACTCCCTATTCCGTAAAACTCGGATTCTGGGAAACTCAACAGTTTCTCAGTCCACTTTATGTCAAGATTGTGGGAGTCTACTCCATTCTTATGCTATTTCCTTGTTTGATTTAAAATTCAGTTTATTGACATCATATACTTTTTGTTTTAATTACATTTTATTGCATTATGTTTTGGATGCCATTTTACTTGGAAGGGCGTTGGACGTAGACAGGAATGGTGCTAAAATATCGCCAAGGGGGACTCTGAAATATAATCCAAAATTTACAGAAACTTCTGTTGCTAGGAAAGTATTCTGATCTACTGCCAGCAGAATTATTGTGCAGAAATATCACAGAAATATTAACAGCCTAAATAAACTGGAAAATCAGGACGAATGAAATTTAAAATCAAATAAAACAGAGAGTGTCAACAGCTACTGAAAATGGTGTTTATCTCAGTTCAGGAAAGGAAGTTAAGATTATCCATCAGATCATTCTAACATCAGCTTCCATTCTTTAGTTTAAATGGCCAAGGAATTGTATGGCTCATATAAAAATAAAGTCAAATGCCATAAAGCTTATGACGGAGGTATATATTACAGCAAACTGTGCCCCTACACACACACATACACACACACACACACACACAAAAAAAAAAAAAAATTGGATTATGGCAAGGCAGACAAGGGCTCAATGCCAAGGATGAACTTCATTTCACCACCTACAGAAAAGGATGTTTTCTAAGAAGACTTTCTAAGAAAAACCATGAAAGTGACTATACAGCCAGCCTCTTCACCAGGATTTGAGCATGGGCTGAGCTCAACTTGGCAACATTAACCACTCAGGCACTAATGAGCTTAATTTTCAATGAAATCTTTCTTGATGTACAAGTACTTACACGCCTCAAAACACGTTATGTTAATTATACAGATATAATAAATCTCAAGTTAGAATTTCAAAGTTTATTTTGAATATAATTCATATTTTCAATAAGAAAATAATAAAAGCAGATTTCTTAAATAGTACTAGGGACAGTAAATTCATAAAATAGTATGGCAATACCATACTATAGTTTACAGCACTGTAATACTATACCACAGTTTTTTACTACAGTCAAAAGTCGTTAATTTGGACACCCATAATCCGAAATGATCTATAATCCGGACCTCAAAGCTAAAAACTTTTCTGGCACATGCGCACAGGCATTTACGCGTGCGCGTAAGACTGACTACTGCGCATATGCGTGTGCGCAAGTGCAGATACGTTTTCGCTGCGCGTTTAATGTATAACGGACGGGGTAATCTAAATATCTATTATCTTTCAGTTAATGTAATGATTGCGTTGTTCCTTAATATTCGAATGGATCCTCTTATTATTTTTGCAGACTGTAAGAGCAATTTTATAAAAGTAAACGAACTTTCGATTATGTCAAATAGAATTTCCGATGCGGAATTCCAAAGCTCTACAAACGAAAGTAGTTTCGAGTCCAACAAACAAAAAGTGAAATTTACTGGAAAAAGGATAAAGACATGAAGAATGTGACAGAGAGGTTAGTGAAAACGAAAAAATTTCGATTGACAAGTTAGTCGGTATTCTCGGCACAGCAATTAACGAGACTTAACAGCAGAACTTTGAATGAAAAGACGTATGTCTTTTATAGAATTAAAGAGAAAGTATTATCACATAAAATGAAGCAACTTAAACACTTACACTGAAAGAAAGTGAATAAAGTAAAACAAATAATATTAAGCTTTTTTTTTTTGTAAATTTTGATACCCTTAGATCAAATTGTTCTTTATTCATAATTACATTTCAATTTTTATTTTCAATTTCGGCAGCCATCGCGAGATTAAACTGGATAATAATCCGGAATCGCCGAAGTCCCGACGAGTCCGGATTAACGACTTTTGACTGTAGTATTATCACAGTGGCACAGCTAGAGAGGGAAGATCTGCCCAGACAGCACATTTTTATGCACTGCACTTTTCACATGAAATGTTATTTTAGACATTTTTTTTTTTCATTCAGGCAGACGAAGAATAATGAGATGTTTAAACGCCATACAGAGTTAACTGTAGGCAAAATACTTAAAGAAATCAATATATTTCATATGCTACATATGCTTGTTATACCCGTTTTATTCCACCGAAACTTTTAAATGAAAATTACAAATATCAACTGAATTATGATGACATTAATAAAGGAGAATTCCTATTTAAGAGATAAGTATTTCAGAGTTCTTTTATTTCCATTTTTGCTAACAAAAATGAAACAGTAATGTGAAATGGCAGTCCTTTTGAATTTTTATAGTAAATTCTAAAATACAATCTCCAGAACAATGTTTCAAATATTGTAATACTTCGCAAACTTTTCTCACAACTACTGTCACTGTTGTAAGTTGTGAGAAGAGTATTCTAAACAAAAATCATTTATGAAATATCAAAGTATTAGAAATGTTTATTCTGCATTTAAGAAGTATTTCTGTACTCTCTATACAAATGCAAATGGGACAATCAAGTAGACCTCTATAATTTCATTAGTGGTTTTGGTAACAAAAAACGCAAGGAAAACAATAATGTACTTGAACATGAAAACAATATCAGAATTAAAGTTTTTCATCAAAAATAAAAGTAGATGTTAAGCATTCAATATGTTAAATCTGAAGCTTTAATTCATTTTCTATATGTCATTTTGGCATTTTTTTTTTTTGGTTGATCTTTACATTATGGTAACTTGGCGTTTTTTAGAGAAAATTTTGGCGCCAACTCTCTACAGCAACTCTATTTTTTTCTCCGCCTTTTGTTTCACGAATAAAGACATGTTTCTTCTCTTTTATCTAATGAACACTTTTCCAACATCTACTCCGAATTACACTTATGCTAGAAATGTATCTAAAAACGCTTAATCATGACAAATATGCACTGCAAATGGAAAAGTGCACAATACCATACTCCTTACGGTTTTCAAATAACACATAACAAAACCATGTACACGCGATTTCTTACTTAAAAATCCAGATTGCACAAAAATGCATTGCGCACACTCTTCACTATACTGTACACTGCTTTTTATCATATTGAAAATTTCACGAAACTACATGAAATTTCTCATCCTTAACCCGGTAAAAAGAACATATATGAGATACATAGATCGCAAAAAAAAAAGATTTACCCTTCAAGAGAGGAACATGGTCCAAATAGAAAATAAAGAAAGATCCAAAAACTTTACTCTAAATCATCGATGACAGTGATACAGGTCACAACGAATCATTACCGAACCATACAATACTTACTATAAATATTTAAAGTATTCCATGAATGTCTACTTCAACTTAAACGTATACCAAATTCCTACAAACATAAAAATCCACAAAATCACTAGCATTAATTAAAAATAATTAAAATTCAACACACTACTTAAAATATAAATGAGACATACATTAAATAATCCGTACATAAATACCCATTTCGAATTCACTAGTTACGGCCATGGGATCCAAAAATTCACGAACACTGTTTCACAAAACACAGAATAAAGCAAATACAAAAATTTCCAGATTTTTTCCGATTTTCCACCTTTTCGATGAGAACGGTAATCGTCCTTAATATCACATGACATAGCCCTGATCTCTCATTCATTTCCCTCACACCAAAATAATGGTAATCGGAACAT